GAGGGATATAAGACAATATCTAGCACATGTAACGGAAATCACACAAGAAGGGAGAATAGAGTAGAGCATTTATCTGGAGAAAGAACGGCTAAGGTTTCCAAACCTTTGGAAAGAAAAGAGGACACAGAGTTAAAAAACACCAAAAATCCCCAAGCAGGATAAATACAAAGAAAAGTACTCTCAGCAAGAGGCTAAGGTACAGCAGGGATTATCTCATCAAGATCTGTCGACATAGTATTTGTCTAATGGAGTGAGTTCCAGTGAAATTCAGGGAAGACCCACTACATTCTTGAGAAAACCGTTTGAGCCAAAAGAGAGAGAAAGGAAAAAAGAAAAAAAAAAACCCCCAAAACCCCAAATAAACAAAAAATCCACACTGGCAGTGTAGACTAAAAAGGACAGAGACAGTACAAAATAAAAACAAAATAAAAAGAGGCTGTAGGATTCTTAACATTCTCACGGCAAGATCAGGCGGAGAAAATTAGTCAGCTATCTTTCATGAAAAGGGAAAGATAACTACACAGAGTGGAATCAAATGATCAGAGAGTATAGCAAACATCAGAGATTATGTAGGGTATGCACCCTGGGGTGAGGGTGATGAGAAAACCTGGGAGGCCAACTGAGGATTCTGCTTATCACAGTGGGCAATTCTATCCAATATTTTAAAAAGAAATAATTTACTTCTATACAAACTCTTCCAGAAAAATGTAGAATTAACTAATTCTATGAGGCCAATGCTACTCTGATTACAAAATTAAGACATTACAAGAAAACTATAGATCAATGTCTTCCATGACAAAAAAGCAGTATTCATGAAATATCAGCAGGACAGCAGAAATGGTTTATCAATAGCAACACGTCGCAACCAAGTAAACTTTACCCAGGAATGCAAGGTTGATTTAATATTTGAAAACCATTCATTGTGGATCATAATATTAACAGATTTAAAACAAAAATATCGTATTATGTCAACAGACAAAAAGGCATATGATAAAGTTCAACTCTATTCATGATTAAACACACACACGGAAAATTAGGAATAGAAAGGAACTTTACTAATTCCAAAACTTCAGCTACCTTTTAAACCTATTGGTCAAATTCTGAATACTCTCCCCTTGAGTTTGAGAAGAAGAGAAAGATGCCCAGCTCTACTCAGTGTACTGAACATTCTTGACAGTACAATAAGAAAAGTCATAAGAATTGCAAAGGGAAATTTAAAACTATGACTATCAGATGACAAATTGTATACTAAGAAAATCTAAAGAAAACCCAAAAAACAAAAAACCTACAGAATGAGGATTAGAATTAATAAGTGAATTAGTTGGATAAAATAAATATAAATATATATATATGTAAATCGACTTTACTTATTTCATTTTAGTAGCAACAAAAATGAAAATCATTTCAATAGTATCAATAGAAACACACATGTAGAAACACATTTAATGAAATGTTATGTAAGACTTAGAGAATTATAAAACATTATTGACAGAAACTAGAGAAGATCAAAGTAAATGAAGACATATACTTCACTTAAAGACAGAAACTTGGTATTATGAGAACAGCAATTTCCCCAAAATGACCTATAAAATCAATATGATCTGAATTAAAATTCCAGCAGGATTTTTGGTAAAACTTCACAAATTTAGAAAAGCAAAGGAACAAGAACAGTTAGGGTAATTTCAAGAAAAAAAGCAATGGTGAAATAGTTCCATTGCCAATATCAAGACTCATTATAAAGCTGAGGTAGTTAACCTGTGACCAAAGGAAGAGAACAGACGAACAGATGCCTGGGACAGGCCCACACATGTACATGCATGTGATTTATGATAAAGGTGACCAGGCAGGCAAGTGAGGCAAAAATGAGATTTTCAGTAAACTGCACTGACTCAAATGGATAGCTTCAGGGGTAAGAAAACGAAACACACTTCATACTTTAAGTAAAAATAAATTCCATTTGGACTGCAGATTTAAAAGTAAAAGGAAAAATGATAAAATTTCTAGAACAGTACATTGAGGGGTATCTTAATGATAGTGTAGAGAAGGTAAACATTTCTTAAGAGGACACAAAAAGCACTAATATTAAAAAAAAATACTGATAAATTCTACATTAAATGAAGAACGTCTCTTCTTCAAAAGGCACCATGAAGAGAAAAGGTGGGTTAAAATAATGGAAGAAGATATTTATGTAACTATGAACTACCAAAATTTGTACCCAGAATACGTAAATAACTCCTATAAATCAGGCATAAGGGCGGGGTATAAATCAAACTGGTAAACCAATGGGCAAGAGATTTGAACAGATAATTCATGAAAAAAGACTCCCAAATAGCCAATAAACATATAAAAGATACTCAATATGGTCAGTTAACAGGAAAATACAAAACTACAATTAAAATTAAGTTATATTCCCACCAGAATGGCTAACATTGAAACGTAACAATGCCAAGGGCTCGCAAGGATATGGAGGTTCTAGCATTTTTATACATTGCTGTTGGGATTGCAAATTTATTCAACCATTTGGGGAAACTATTTGGCAGTATCTAGTAAAGCAGATCAATTTCGTTTCCTATGACTCAGCAATTACACTCCTCCCAGTGGAAAAGTTTACACACAAGTGGAAGAAAATAAAAAAAAAAAAACAAGAACACTGATAGCTGTATTCATTGAAACACTAATATTAGGATTTTGAAAATACCAATTCCCCTTTAACAACAGGGTGAATAAACTGTGACACACACACACACACACATACACACACACGCACACACGCTGCCTGGCAATAACAATGAATGAACTACAAACACTTTAAAAACAGATTTAGTTCAACAATATAATGTTAAGTAAAACAAACCCCTCAAACCCCAAAAACCAAGCACTCAAACATAAATTCTTACATTTATATCCAGTATAAAAATAGGTAAAAACTATTGTGTGGTGTCAGAATAAGACATGGTGGTTTCCTTCGGGGAAGGGCACAGGATAGTAAATGCAGGACATGGCAGGGATCTGTGTGGTAGTTGGCGATGTTCAATTTCATGATCTGATGGGTAGTTGTAAGTATTCACTTTATGAAAATGCACAGCCATATACTTTTCTGTAGATAAAGTACAAGAGCTTTTAAGTAAAGAAGAAGTAAAGTTTAAAAAATGAGTAGACTGAACTATGAGAACAGAAAACAGAACAGTAGTTGTCAGGAGTGGGGTGGGGATGGAGGAAGAAGATGATTATAGAAAAGGGTAAGAAGGATTGGCTGGGTGCAGTGGCTCACACCTGTAATCCCAGCACTTTGGGAGGCTACATGGGAGGATTGCTTGAATCTAGGAGTTCAAGACCAATCTGGGCAACATAGTGGGACCTTGTCTCTATGAAAACTAAAAGACAAAATTAGCTGGTTGTGGTGGCACACACATGTAGTCACAGCTACTTGAGATGCTGAGGTGAAGTATCACTTGAGCCCAGGAGGTTGAGGCTGCACTAAGCCAAGACTGCATCACTGCACTCCAGCCTGGGCGACAGAGCAATACCCTGTCTGAAAATAAAATGAAATAAAACAAAACAAAAGGGTAAGAAGAAATTTTGAGAGGGCTGATGAAATTGTTCTGTATCTTGATTGTGATAGACACACACACACACATGATCTTCTATATCTTGACTGTGACACACACACACACACACACACACACACACACACACAAATGTACTACCGTATGCATTTGTCAGAAGTCACAGACCTGTATACAGGAAAGAGTGCCTTTTGCTGTATGTAAGCTATACCTCAATAACATATACTTGTGATATAAAAGAAAATGAATTAATTTGGCATCTTTTTATGTTTGTGGGAAATTAATGATCTGTGGTGTTATAATCTGCTTTTTTTGTTGATTAAATTAGAAAAATGGTCTACCTGCAAAATATTGTCTTACCCTTGTATACACAGAAAGTTGTACAATTAACTTGAGGAAAATACTGGGAAAACAATGAATGCTATTCATTTTGAATTTATGATATTCACTTTCGATTTTGGAAAAAACAGACTTTAATGTGCATATATTTTTCCACCAAATGGTGAAAGAAGAAATATATATGTTGTGTTTATATTCACATATGCTATAATAGAAAAACAGTAAAAAGTTCTAGGTCATGTATTTGCATATTTATTCACAAAAACATTTGAGGCAAATTAATGATAGGGCATAATTTTTTAAAATTTAGGTTGGTGCAAAAGTAATTTTGTTAACTATTTTAGTAGCAATAACTGCAGTTACTTTTGCACCAACCTAATAGTTATTAGAAACAAAGTAGAAAATTTTCACTTAAATTTCTACTTCCTCTTGAGGCTTATTTTACATTTGCCCATATTCACCCAATGAATCTAGAAAGTGAATATTTGTTTTGAGACCTTTAATTTCTGGGGCATTCTGGGAAACGGTTGGCCTTTACTTGATTTCAAACTTAATCACATTCATTATGAGTCATCTTATTTACTTTATCTGTGAACATGAAAGGATAAAATTAAATTGAAATTCTTTGTGAAAAAAACAGTAAAAAAAAAAAATAGGCAGAAAGACAGACAGCATCACATCTATCCAACAGCAAAGTAGGAAAGCTGTGGGGCTCCCAATCAGTAACAAATTATGAAAAGTGGGGTAAAAATAAAGCCTCTTTTACTCACAAAGATTTAAATATTGCCTTATTTTGAAACATCCAAAACTTATACACACAGGTAAATACTAGACCAGATACTAATTAAAAAATTTTCCCCAAGTTATCTGAACTTTACTGTTCAAAAGAAGAAAAAAGGTGATTATATTTGAGTTGCCTAAGGCCATTTAACTCATCCATGGCCCCCGGCCCCTGACCCCAACTTGGAAATCTCTCCATATTTTGTAATTTAAGGGTGATAACATGAGCAAGTTGTGTGAAGGTGGGCAACACAGCTGCATTTTTATGGCTATTGGCAAAAAAAAACACAATACCTTACAAGCAAAAGATCTTACCACTTGCGCTGGAACTTGTTCTATTTTTGCAGCAGGAGTTCCTGGTCGAGGGTAAAACTGGTTAATAAAGAGGCTTGGAAATTTGTACTCTTCAACAAGCTTCACTGTTTCTTGAAAATCCTGATCTGTTTCTCCAGGAAAACCACAGATAATATCTGTAGCAATAGTTATTCCAGGAACTCTAGAAAATAACAAGACAAAAATGCAAAAACTTGACTACAAGCCATCATTATTCTATTTCCCTGACATTTTAAATACCAATTTTTTTGTAATTAAAATTTATTTTTATAAAAGGCACACATGCAAATAGTTTTAAAGAGTCCTAAATACCAAAAGTTTAAAATGAAAAACAGTGGCTGCCTGCCATTTTAGAAACCCATTTTAAAATCTTTTAAATGGTTCTTTGTTCTTTCTTCTATATTTAAAAATAGATGCTAATTCTTCCATTTCTAGGTATACTAATTTTTAGGCAATAGGTAACTAACTTCTCTATTACGGCAAATGAGGCTCTAACTCTTGAACTCCTCCATCCCCGCCCTCCCAAAGGGGACTCGAACAACTCCTGGTTAAATCAGTAGCACAGTACTCCCATTGGTGCAAATGCAAAGGTAACAATCATTGTAGAGCTAACTGGTATACTATTCCGTTTTGTTTTTCCACAAGGTGTAATTTTTCTTAGAGTTGATAATTGCTCCTTAAAAAAAAAATCAGCTTAATGTTCTATGTGCCTATGCTAATGTTTTCTAGAAGCTCCATGAGACCTATCAAAAACCAATGCTGTTTCTAAACCTGCGATGTATTATATAATGTCCCAGCCCCCTTTTCTTTTTCTGGAAATGCCACTCCTTTCGGGTGTGTGTTGCCATTTTTTTTTTTTTTTTGAGATGGAGTTTCGCTCTTGTTACCCAGGCTGGAGTGCAAGGGCGCGATCTCGGCTCACCTCAACCTCCGCCTCCTGGGTTCAGGCAATTCTCTTGCTTCAGCCTCCTGAGTAGCTGGGATTACAGGCACGCGTCACCATGCCCAGCTAATGTTTTGCATTTTTAGTAGAGACGGGGTTTCACCATGTTGACCAGGATGGTCTCGATCTCTTGAACTCCTGATCCAACCCGCCTCGGCCTCCCAAAGTGCTGGGATTACAGGCGTGTGTGTTGCTTTTATAGTGAACTGGCTATCACCCTGGAATGTTGCTCCTTGGTATCCTTTTTTCAGTAATCTTTTCCCCGATCCTATGTCTTTTTAATTCTTCATCAACTCGCTCCTTCTGCAGGAGTGTGCTTTCTTTCAGAAGCTTCATCGGAAAGACACCAGGGAAAGTTTGTTGCTGTCTTAGCATGCCCGGTTTTACGCCAAACAACTGACCGACATTTGGTTGTGTGTAGCACTCCAAGTTAAAACGTATTATTCATAAACATTTTGCATTGTTCCTCTTTAAGCTGAAAAAAGTGCTAACGGGATGTCCAGATTGACTTGGACTCACACGTTTTTAAATGTGCCCACACCATTCTCTTTTTAAAAGCTTTTAGGGTATTAACTTTATGCTCAAAGTTTTTAATTTCACGATAATATGTCTTGGATTGGGTCTTAAAATCTTTGTACAAGGTACAGTCCGAAGACTCATGGGCTTTAGGTTGAGGAAGTTTTCTAATATTATTTCTTTAATCATTTTTCTCTCAGGGAATCCTGTCTTTTAGAATGTTGAAACCACTGGGTAAAACCTTTTGGCTTTTTCTCTCTCGCAACTCTACCCTTTTATTTTCTGGAAAATTTACTTCAGCATACCTTCCAAATCTTTTATTGCAAAAAAAAAAATAGTTCAATATTATTGTTTACATTTCTCAGAGCTCTTTCGCATTATCTAATTTTCCTTTTCACAGTATCCTGTTTAGGGTGGAAACATCGTTTCTTATTTATCTGAGGATGTCAATCAAAGGTTTTTAAAGTTTTTCTTCTGCTCACTGCACTTACGTCTTTTGGTTTCTCTCATTCATGGTTGAGACTTTCCACCAATAAAGAACAATTCTTGCTATCCTTTCATATTGAACAGCAAAGCACTAAAACCTTTTTATCACTGAGTGATTAGGTAGCAAGCTACCTTTGTTTTTAATAGGCCAAAATGCTGGCATCTTGAAGTCATTTCCTTTTTTTTTTTTTGAATTGCATTTTAGGTTTTAGGTTTTGGTGTACATGTGAACAACATGCAAGACAGTTGCATAGGTACACACGTGGCAGTGTGATTTGCTGCCTTCCTCCCCTTCAGCGATATCTGGCATTTCTCACCATGCTATCTCTCCCCAATTTCTTTATGGCCACTTAGTGCCTCCATAAATACGGCATATTGTTCTACTTTAATAGCAAAAAAAAAAGTTACATTAACTTATTAAAAATCCAGTATTATTCTGAATCCATAAACAACAGAGAAAATAGTTCCAAATGTCAAATCATACGATATCAAATTTCCTATCACTTAAATAGTTCTGACCAGATGCTGTGGCTTACACCTGTAATCCTAGCACTTTGGGAGGCCAAGGTGGGTGGATAACCTGAGGTCAGGAGTTGGAGACTAGCCTGGTCAACATGTTGAAACCCCGTCTCTAATAAAAACACATAAATTAGCTGGGTGTGGTGGCAGATGCTTGTAATCCCAGCTACTTTGGAGGCTGAGGCAGGAGAATCACTTGAACTGGGGAGGCAGAGGTTGCAGTGAGCTGAGATCAAGTCATTGCACTCCAGCCTGGGCAACAGAACAAGACCTTGTCTCAAAACACAAACAGAAAAATAAACAAAAAATAGTTTCACATGAAAAAATAAAAACAGTTTATCAAATTAAGATATATGACATATTTGGGGGCATAAGAGAGAACAAGAGATATACCAATGAGGACAGCCAAATTATTATATTCCTAATATAGCTTCATAAAAACAACAGCTTTCCATATTTTCTTCACACTCTACTTAAAACCTTGTGTGAAAGAAGCATCACAAATCTATTTTTAAAAATATTTTGTTCCTAATTTATATTTGGTCTCACCTAGCTACTCATTTGGCTGAAATTAAGTTAGTAAGATAAATTCCAAGGACTGAAACTTTTCTCCTTGATGATAAATAGAGAGAGAGACAATATCCATGCAGAAGAATAAAGAAGTATATTTAAATAAAAAGTTAATTTTTATTGTGATATAAACATATTTTTCTTCTTTAAAGGTAATTATCAAAATTGCATTTGAAAAATCACAAAAACCATATGCTTTCACATGTAAGCTATAGATAAAAAGACCATTTTGGTAGACTAAAGCATGTGGAATAGCTTTTTGGCTAGCTACTTTTACACTTGCCTTTTCAATAATTCTGATCCAAAAAGTCTACAACTAAAAATAAAAGTAATGGATCACAGCAGATAACAGCAGAGAATAGTCCATCTCTTGTAGAAAATTTGAAAAAATAAATCTTGGAAACTGCCTGGGAAATACTGTAACAACAAAGGTTATTGTCCTCAGCTATGAATTAGAATAGGCTGGCACTAGATTATGGGGTATTCCCACAGGAAAGTACCTTACTGGTTTTCCCTCTATCCTTCTTGGTGCGTTATGGTTGAACCCAGTGTTATGTAACACGTGCTTACTTTGCCTTAAGGGCCATAGTGACACAAAAGACAAACCTTTAGAGAAGTCACAGTAAATGTTAGGGAAAGGGACTTTCAGTGCATGGATGTATTTGGCAAGGTTAACAGAAAGTTGCCGGTTAACATGGGAGAGGCCAGGCCACTGTGAATTCGTAACTGATTCACCTGGAACAAGTAAACTCAGTGAATATTTATAGAATTCTTCACCCCAGGTCCACAGAATATACATTTTTTTAGTATCACATTACACCTATTTTGAAAGTGACCAAATAATGGAAGCAAATCACTCTTCAGCACTTGCACAGCATTTCACAGATTTAAATGAAATATTGGTTGGCTGTTTGTTATTTTCTTTCCTGATTTCTTCCTGTCTCCGCTGTTAAGCACAATTATCAACATAAAAGAGGTTTTTAATACCTATTTCTAGATTGCATTCCAGCCTGGGCAATAGAGCAAGACTCCTGTTCTCTCTCCCCCTTTTCTCTTTCTCTCTTAAAAAAAAAAAAAATCTCACTCTCACCCTCTTTTTCATCTTTTTTTCTCTTTCTTTTTTCTTTCTCTTCCTTTCTTTCTTTTTTTAAAAAAGATGACAGAGAAACAGATAAAGGAATAATAATACTGAACCCTTTATTTAAATCCTGGGAATTATTGAATACTTAGTATCAACTTCTAGGGTGTTATGAGGATGAAGGAAAAAAATAAAAAACAAATAGAAACGAATAAGTAACTGATACCAGTCAATATGGAGAAGTCAAAGCAGTTTAACTGGCTTCAAAGTATGTAAGAATATGAACTGACAGCGTATAAAATGGTTTTTTTTTTTGTTTTGTTTTGTTTTTGAGACGGAGTTTCGCTCTTGTTACCCAGGCTGGAGTGCAATGGCACGATCTTGGCTCACCGCAACCTCCGCCCCCTGGGTTCAGGCAATTCTCCTGCCTCAGCCTCCTGAGTAGCTGGGATTACAGGCATGCGCCGCCATGCCCAGCTAATTTTTTTGTATTTTTAGTAGAGACAGGGTTTCACCATGTTGACCAGGATGGTCTCGATCTGTTGACCTCGTGATCCACCCACCTCGGCCTCCCAAAGTGCTGGGATTACAGGCTTGAGGCACCGCGCCCAGCTAAAATGTTTTTTAAGTAGAGATTGCACTTTAATGTTAGATGAGGCTGATCTATACATTAATTTTATATATGCAAATGATCCTACTTACATTCTTGAAAATAATTTGACTCTTTAGGTGAACCAACTGAAATCTCATTTACACTGTTAATTTGCCTAGTAAATAATTCTCTTCAGTATGAGAAAATCAGAGAAGTCTGAAGTGGAACAAATTCTAAATTACTAGAATATGATTTAAGTGTCTAGGAGGAAATGATAAGGGGTATAAAACAGAATATTAATCCAAATATTCAAGATGCTAATTCTGGGTAATAGCTATTTTTGAGATGCCACGAATTTTTCAAATACTAAGGTTTTAAAAATAATCATTTCCACAAACTTATTTAAGCTGTACTAAGTAATACGTTATTCAGTTTTAGAAACTTTATGTACGTTTTCAT